TGCAGCTCACCTGATGTTTTCTGAAAGGATTGGACAGCACAGGCTGCAAGCATGAGGCTGCATGTCTGACCTCTTTACAGCGAAATATATACAGTTTACCTATACTGATCTCATGAGGTGATGCTTACAATATAATGAGAAAAACATTAAACAATATCCAATTATTTGCAGTAATTGGATCCATAGAGAGCAGAATTGTTGCTTACTTTGATCATCAAAGTTTTCCTGTCCTTAAAATAAACTAATTCCAATTAATGTTTTAATGTTTTCTAAGTTGAAGCATCTCACAGGACTCATTTAAAAAGCTGTGTCTGACTGTGGCTTTCCCTACACTTTTTTTTTCCAACAACAGTTCTACTGGCCCATTAAAGCTTTTAGCACATTTGTAGTTCAACCTCTTCTTTTCTGATGCAGCTGGATTTTGCTGGAAGCTACAGAGAGAACTCCATGAAGAGAATACAGAGGAATCCCAGATATAGTCGCTATAAAAACTTTAAGACTACTTGAAAAATTGAAAAAAAAAATATATATCATATTTTGCATGGTTGGATCTTAACAAGGTTCCAAGTAGAGCTTCAACATACAACAAGAAGAAATGGGAGTGAGACGAAACATTTATTTGAGCATGCAATTTATTGAAAACAACGCTTAAATCGAAACAGGCTGTTTTAAAGCTGATGCAAGCGTTTTCATGAGGTGAGCAGGTGAGTGGGAACATTTCTCCAAGTGGTGAAGACGACACGAAGGGCATGTGCTGTCTGGAACTGTTGTTCATTTTAGTAAACTTCCCGTGCCATCCATCTTCAAAGGTTCTGAATTGAATTTAGAATAGGGGAACAAGTAGGATGGTCCAAATGAGTGATGTTATTCTCCCGGAAGAAGTCCCTTGTTCTGCGGGCATTGTGTACTGTACAATGTCCTGTTGAAAAGCCCAGTCGTTACCACACAGATGAGGGCCCTCAGTCATGAGGGATGCTCTCTGCAACATCTGGACATAGCCAGCAGCCGTTTGACGCCCCTGCACTTCCTGAAGCTTTACTGTTCGACTGAAGGAAAAAGCACCCCAGACCATTATGGCCCCCCCTCCACTGTGATGCGTAGAAAGCATCTCAGGTGGGATCTGCTTGTCATGGCAATAATGCTGGAAACCATCAGGACCATCAAGGTGAAATAAAACTTTCTTCCACTTTTCAATGTCCCATGTTTGGTGCCCTCTTGCAAAGTCCAAACAGTCAGTTCTGTGGTGTTCAAAGAGACGAGGCCTTTGCAAGATGTTTTTTTGTTTTTGAAGCCCTTCAGTCTCAGATGCCATCTGATAGTTATTGGGCTGCAGTTGGCACAGGTAACGGCCTTAATTTGGGTCAAGGATCGTCCAGTGTCTTGACGAACAGCCAATTCGATCCTCTGGCTCAGTACTGGTGAAGTTTTTGGTTCTTCCACTTGACTTTTTTGTTTCATACCCCTTATGATCATTTAAGAAGTTCCAAATGACTGTCTTACTGCATCCCCCCTCAGTAGTGATGGCACGCTGCGAGAGACCCTACTTATGCAGTTCAACAACCCGACCAAGTTCAAAAAGGGAACTATTTTTTTGTCTTTCCCATCAGAACATCATGACAGTGTGACTACCTGACAGAAAATGACAATGAATCTACAGTTTTGCACAGACTTGGCATTTTAAAGGCACGCGTTCCTAAACTTTTGATCAGCTGTATTTTTTAAGTGGTCTTAAACTTTTGATAGGGACTGTACGAATATAGCTCACATTTTTGGATCCGTGCACAGATCTGTACACAGTTGATCACATATTTACGATTTGTGTGAAATTTGTCTCAAAACTCACATTGCATGTAGGATATGCACAGAAGTGTTTTTGAAAGACTCGTGAAGCCGAAATCAATAAATTGTGCGTAAATGATCTTTTTCTTACAGGCTTTGATGCACACATTTGTAAAAATAGTTTTATGTGTTCAAATTGCTTTGTATTTGTGTGATGAATTGCAGCACGCATTTGTGAATCCTCAAAAGTTACACACAAATTACTGCACACATTTGTAAATCTTAGCTTATGCTTGTGGATCATGCTGTACACATTTGTAACACTTTTGAGGCAAATTTCTCTCCAGAGAGCTCTTAATAAACTCTTTATAACTCTTTTCTTTTTTTGGGGGGGGGGGGGTTTAACACCCATGGCTTGAATTAATGTTTTGCTTGTGATGCTTAGACAGTGATTTCATAGAGGAAACATCAAAACTTTTTCATTTCAAAGACTTTACAGACTTCATATCTGTGGCTTGTGTTACGAGTTCAAAATTGGGGATGGAGACAAGAGAAAAAACCACAATAACAACACTGGTCCGGCCGGGTTAAGTCAAACGGTGATTTTAATAGTCACACGCGTGGGAGATGGACACTGTATGCAGACAGCCTCAGATCTCAAAATGGTGGAGCATTAATCAAACTCTTATAGCCTCTGGTGCCCCCACCTTATCATAAAAGCCTAAACATTCACATGCTTTTCTCTCACACGGCGCCTAAGCTACGACCTTGGCTCCCTGTTTTATCTGCTCCTGCTGAGATGGGGCAGAAAACTCCAGCATGTTCTGTTCTCTTCTAATCAGACAAATAAGGCGATGACTTTCTGCAAACAGTATTTCTTATAACATCATAAAACAATATCATTCATCCACAATAAATCAGCAGTCTAATGTAATGCAAATCAGTTTAACTAATGCAATAGTTATCACCTTCTTCTACTTCAGGAGAATAATGCAAACTAAAACTACATAATAATTCACAATCTTTAATTAAGGGTCTAACATGGCATAAAATAATATTATAATTTTACACTTGCACAGTTTTGTATCTACCTAAAGCTAAACACCAAAGATTCCAAGGGTGTTTTATTGCTTTGGCTTGAAGTCATGAAAAATCCCAAAGTTTCAGATTTTCCCCTAAAAATGTATTTGTGGCAAGAGTCATGGTAATTTCATGCAACTATGAAAAGACTGAAAACAATCTTTTCATTTTTATTTAAAGAAAATACATTACTGACCAAAAATAAAGCGTTTAACCTGAAAAGATAACTTTCAAAAGCTCTTGGATTCACAAATCACATAGTATGGCATCTCTTTACATACATACACGCTTAAACACAAGCTAACTGAAGTTAAGTGATATTTCATGTTGCCTATTAAATCCCAATTATCAGTCAGGCTCTAAATCACACACTTGAGACTGTAAGTAGGGATTTTATGATACTGCTAGAGCTTTATTTTCAATTCTAATGATTAAATTAGGTACAGTCTTTGCAATTTAAGGTTGTCAGTCAAGTCCCAAACACAGCACTGTATGTGTTTGCAAGATGTTCTGTATTCAGCTGGCCGCAGACTTGGTGGAGGGCGGCTGATGCTGCCTCAGCTGTTCTTTTCGGGCCTTTTGGAAATTCATCATGCAGTCTTTGAACGTCTGAACTTGGCTTTGACATGCTCGCCAGTCCTGATGTTCAGCCATGCATTCCTGGATGGCGTAGTGAAGCTCAGCGCAGCCAGTGCGCGATATCATCTGTTCAACAGGGTCATCCTCGTCATCTTTCCGGCTGCGGTCATGAGGTGAAGCCATCCTGTGTGAATACAACGTCCTGACTCAGTCACACTGCTGACAAGAATACAGGCTGTTATTAATAATGAGAACACAAAAGAGCTGCTGCTCAGGCCTGTAGGCATCTTAAAATCTGTAATGTGAGAGATCTGTATCTTAGGAGTTTTATCTAATAATATATTTGTTAGTTTTTGTCATTTTTATGAATTATTGTGGTTACTTTAATACATCCGCCCTTTCTAAAGGTCCTCTATAACCTTTTTTGTTTCAGAATTCAGTGTTTTGACCCGAGTTGTGAAATATCAATTCAATATTTACAGTGCTGAGAAAAAGTATTTTTGCATCTTGTCACACGTTTCAGATCATCAAACAAACTTTGAAAGAAAGATAAAAAGAGTAAATACAAAATACAAAACTTTGATTATAACTCTTTTTCTGGTAATGTTTACCTGAGTGAAATAACACTGAACTCTTCCAACTTTAAATTAGTTAAGCAACGTTGACACTCGTCAGTGTCAGACTACCCTGGACGTTTAGCTACACTGATGTTACAACACAGCTGTGCCGTCGTTTCGTGTTCCTGGACGACGCCTGTTAAACACCTATGAGGATAAAGAAACTACCCCTTGTACCTATCTATTAATTGTCTCTTGGCGAATGTCTCTATCGAGGCACTTTTGTCCTAATCTTCATAACTTCAGGCTTTTTACAACCAACCTGCACGGACGCTGCAGGGGGTAACATTTCAGTGACGGACGAAAGTGTATCAGTAAAGTACTTCCGTCGCTGGTGACTTTGGTTCCGCTGAGCAGCGAGAACGTGCACGTCATTGGTTTCTATCACTAATAATTAGTGATAATGCAAAAAAAAAAAAAAAAAGGTCTGTTTTCAGGGTCAGCGTAGAACTGCTGATATATTATATTATGACACACCATTCTAATTCAAATTAAAATCCATAATTAATGATACATTGATTAATGTTACTGATACATTAATTTCTAAGTGAAACTCCATTCAGCGTTTAGTTGAAATGTCAGCTGTACAAATATGTACAATTGTTGGCAATGTTTATGCAAAGTTTCATCAAGATCAGTGCCCTTGTCTAGGAGGAGATAGAGAACACAAAAAGGGTTATCCTGTTTGCTATGATGTTGCCAATTAGTGTAACAAAAAAGACAAATGCTGGAGGGATAATGTATATTGTTGAGATACGTCTCAAAGACACAGAAGACCCCAAGGGAAAATGGCAAGTGAATAAGAAACACTCATGGGAAGCCCTCAGAAGCCTTGACTTTTTGCAGCATAACTAAGGGAGGGTTCAGGGTCACTTGAGCCAACCCTAACTATATGTGTTGTCAAAATGGAAAGTTTTAAGCCTAACAGTTTATAGCCTGTTGGTTGACATGCTTGTAAAAGCATTCTTGTAAGAATGTTCAGGTATGTTCATAATGCCAAGGAGGAGCAGTAACCACCAATGATCCTAAATAAGCAAGTGAAAAGGCTTGTAAAGCCATTTCCAAACAATTTAGTCATTTGAAATGACAGACACTATTCAAGTAGAAAACATCCAACACAGCTACCAGTCCTCCCAGGAGTGGATGTTCCAGCAACTTGAGGTCAAAGAAAATGAAAAAAAAAGAGCAATATTGCAGACTCTACAGGCCTCAGGTAACATGTCAATCTTAAAGCTGATGGCAGTATAATTAGAAAAAATTGTAATCATATATTTTTATATTATTAATAATGTATTAATATTTGGGGGTGGTCTCAAGGACATTTCAAAATTACTTATAAAAGTATTCACATGACTCTGTGTAGGGAAGGGGAAAACAAATTACATATAAGTAATCAAGAGAGCAGGTATACCAGTCAGGAGCTGCTAAAATAGACTTGAAAAACTGGTTGTCAGGAAGTGCGAGCACCTCTATAAAAGCAGACATCTTGGCAGCTTTCAGGCCTGGTCTGTGTGTTAACACAACCCACAAACTTCCAAGGAGTGAACATCTCAGCAAAAAAACAACAAAACAAAACACAGCATATTAGCACAAACAGCCTCATACTAACTATCAGCACGGTGGTGAAGGGGTAATGATTTGGTCTTGTTTTGCAGCCACAGGCAACCTGATGTCTCTGGGTACACAGAGGAGTTGACCATGAACTGATAAAATCATACAAAAAATGATTACTTTAAGTTATTGCTTCTAAACGTGGTTATATTGAAGTTACTGACTCATCAGGTGTACTTAGTTTGTTACAGAACTGGACAGAGTTCTGTACATTACTGTACTCCAGGATTGGATGGTACATTTCCTAATGTGATAGCGTATAACATTTTATGAGTGATTATAAAATTGTGAATTTTCTGATCTGCCCTCAAATTATGAAAAACAAAAACAAAACTCAAATTTCTAGCGAAGTTATCACTTTCTTGTAAATTCTGTCTGCAGCACATGATTTATGCCAATTGCCACCACAGCAAGTAAGTGTGAGCACAATGTAATCTTTTGCACCTATTATTTTTCACAGTCATTATAAAGACATTATAAAAAGTGTGACTTGAGAAAGCGGGTCATTGTGTGCAGCAACTGAGATTACAGGCTTATCTTCTACAGCTCTTCAAAGACGAGATGACTATTAGACAATTAGAGGTTTACTTGAGCTTTTCAAGAACAGTAATGAGTCATTAATATCACTCTACATCCTTTCCCATTACGCTGCAGCTTTAATTACATGAGAGCAAAACCTTCTAATGGATGCAGATGAGATTAATTAGGCCTAAGCTTGAACAGTAAAAGCTTTGTTTGTTACAGGCAAGGTCATTAGCCAGCATCCTCTGGAAATGACATCACAAATAAGGACTTATTAGTGGGGCTCCCAGGAGTCGAGGAGGCTGGAGAGGATCATTTTTGTCTTGAGACAGAGTTTCTCGTGGGTGCAGAAATCCAAGTCCTAATGGATCTGCATTCATTGTTAGTTTTATCAGGTTTAGCCATTTAGTCATTTCATACAGACGTTTGTTTGGGCAAAATTACTGTGTTTGTATTATTTATGCAAAAATAAAAATTACATAATATTATATTTCTCAGTGTGCTCAGGCCTCAATTTTAAACCAATTTCCCTACAATTTTGAGAATTATACATATAACTGTGATTAATTACAGTCATGTGAAAAAGAAAGCAAACTATCTTTCAATTCTAGGTTTTACCTGTCACTAGATTAAAAAATATCACTTGAATCTTAGCAGTTCTTAAAATTAGGTAAATACTAACAGCAACTTACATTAATGATGGGTTACAAAAATTAAGCCAAAATGCAGAAGCAGTGAAAGCAGCAGAAAAACAAAGTACACCCCATGATTCAAGAGCTTGTAGAGCCACCTTTGGAAGCAATAAGCTGAAGTGGTTGTTTTCTGTTTGACTTTGTCAGTTTCTTGTTGTGGAAGAATTTTGCTGCACAGTTTTTTCAGTTCATTGGAGTTTGGGAGCATCCAGTTATCCTGAGCTCTTAAAGTCAAGGCTGAGCTCTGGACTTTGACCAGACCATTGCAACAGTTTTATTCTTTTCTTTTTCAGCCATCCTGTTGTAGACGTGCTGCTGTGCTGAGATCATGACCCAGTGCCAGCAAAGCTGCCATGCTGGCCAAACAGCAGACCATGGCTTTGATTTCGAATGCCTACCCTTCTATGATTAGCAGCTCCTTGCTGCTACTTATCATCTTAATTCCAATGAAATAAATATGTACGTGGTTTTCCATCCATCCTCGTCCTTTTATCCTTATCAGGGTTGTGGGGAAGCTGGAGCCTATCCCAGCTACTATAGCGCGAGAAGTAGGGTGCAACCTGGACAGATCATCAGTCTGATGGAGGGCTAACACAGAGAGACAAACATTCACACCTATGGGCAATTTAAAATGATCAATTAACCTAATCACGCTAACTGCATGTGTTTGAACTGTGGGAGGAAGCTAGAGGACCTGGAGAAAACTCGCGCAACCAAGAGAGAAAAAAACAAACTCTACAGGCCAGAAGTAGAGTCGAACTCATGACCTTCTTGCTGTGAACCAACAGTTAGTTTTCAATTACATAAATACAAATATAAGGTGTGACTAATGGGATTTGAGAACCCCATTGTGACAGTAAAATAAATTCTATAATCACAAAAATGATAATGATGATCATTTATACTGATGATTCACAAACGTTTGGTGAGGATTAAGGTGTATTTGACAACAGGAAAAATAAAAAAATGCTAAAATTTTCCTAAAATCTAATGTGAAACTCACAATAAGTAAAGGATTGGTGCTGAACTACAATTTCTATTATTTATATTTTGTATTATTTATCATTCGTACTCTGTTATCACGGGATGCTGTAATTATTACCTTCAAATGTCGAGGGTTTATTAAACAGTGTTGATGTTTGCAAGTCTGTCTCTTTGAAATACTTGCATTCCCATATCCCCTGCCACTTCTAATGAACTACAGAAGAGATTAATTAGACTACAGTGTTTGTTTCCAGTCAGGCCTTTAAGCTTCATTCCCCAGTGATGTTAAAAGAAGGGGGACTCATTAGAAAGACTCTGGGAGTTAAAGAGACACAGTCCTTTTTCATTTTTCCTCATTTAATCACTGATGATGAAATGATTCTGTTGTAAATGATTATCTTATGAAACTGTCAGACTCAAGTAAACACAGGTGGATCAGAGACAGGGCAGCTCAGTCTTTGACTAGTGAACTGACCTTAGCTAATTTATGCAATAAAACTGTGGATAATCCTAATTCAAGCAATCGTATGATGTTGGGCTTTGATTTAAGTAGGTTAATTGGTAAAAACAGATGAGTATATCTCCTGATCAGAGACATTGCTCCCCAATTAACACTGCCACAGAGGAGAGGTCCAACCCGTGTATGGGAACACTTTAGAACAGGGGTGGGCAATCTCAGTCCACGAGGGCCAGTGTCCTGCAGGTTTTAGATCTCACCTTGGGTCAACACACCTGAATCACATGATTAGTTTGTTACCAGGCCTCTGGAGAACTTCAGGACATGTTGAGGAGCTAATGTAGCCATTTAAATCAGCTGTGTTGGTTCGAGGACACATCCAAAACCTGCAGGGACACCGGCCCTCGTGGACTGAGATTGTCCACCCCTGCTTTAGATCAATAACACGGGCCAGATGGCCGTGGGCCATGTGTTGTCAAAATGAAGGACATACTAATGTCAAAAAAGTTTAAAACGCTATCAATAGCTTAAGTATTATAAAGTAAGTATTTTTCATCTTTTGTGGTTCTAACTAGCATCATCTATGATTTATGGCAGACACTTCTCTAATTTCTCTAATCCTGACGTTGATTTATGATTCTTTTCACTCCAGGAGACCTGATATAAAATGAGCACAAAGATTAAATGAAACTGAAGCATGAAGCTCAAAAATAATTAACTTTCACTTGGGGGTATAACAGTCAGCCCAGGTGTAACTCACCCGTATTAGGCCCACACATTCCTTCTAACTCTGCTGAAATCAACACTTACAACAAAAGTTTACTTCAATGCATTGTTTGGGAAATGAAGGGTAGAAACTTGGACTATATCACTGACGAGTACCACACATATAGACATTTTTCCACATGTAACCTAGAGTCAAGCGCAAAGAAAAGAAAAACAGCAGTAGGCTATTCAAAATTAACCAAATACAATAAAGAGAATCATTCTTTATATTTTCTTGATGTTAAGAAAATAAATCTTAATTTTAGTCCAGTTTCTTTTGTAGAGCATTGGTGGGATGTAGCTGTTAGTGGTTAACACATAGCTAGTTAAATTAAGCTATAGCTTCTTATCTCGACTGAAGAAATTTATAGCAAGACATATTTCTTCCTTAAATCTCTCCTTCGCATCTTTAAATGTTTGAACTTTACGATACTTTAAGCATTACATTTGACTTTGTGCAGGTGCATTTTGTCCAGCTGGCCACATGAGGATGCTAATTAACAGTTTAATGTCTGAGCTGAGTCTGAAGGATCGAGACAGATCGTTGCAGTCCTAAATGCATAAATGCATGTGACTGTATTATAAGATTCTGAATGACCAGTGTGTTGTTATTGTTGAAACACACCATATTTAGCATTCAGTGTTTGCTCAAGGCTACTTGAATGAAACTGGCTCTTAACTTGCACAACTTTCATTTTTTTATAATTTTTTTTGAATATATATGTAAATGCATACAAATCCATTATACTGTAAAGGCATGTACTGTGGTTGTAGCTGAAATTCATATTGTGATAGTTGGGTTGAGCCTCTACTGAGATCAAAGAGCTTTCTTTAATACATCAAAACCTTGATTGACAGGCTGTCAGAGCCGATGCAGTCTCAGTCTGTCCGCTAACGCACCACGCACCGTTATGACTGGTCAGAGGATCAGCAGCTTCTCCTGAGTGAAGGACAGCATGAAATATTCACACTGCTGAGACTGCTTTTTTTTTTATTTTACGCAAGCATTTGAATAAGAAACACACACACACATGCGCACACACACGTACACTGACAGCTAATTAGCAGAGCTACTGTAGATGCTTGTGTGATGAATTGAAATGCAATTTAATGAGCGATCAGCACTCACTTCCAAGTAATTAGGATGAATAATTTTTTATATAGTAGGAGTTAAATGCTTTCTTTTGAGTTCTTCACTGATGAAAAACATAAATATTATTGTGACTTGCTGAAATTAAACCAAAGCCACAATGGTGAATTCTGCCACATTAAGCAGGAGAATTACAAAAATACATCAAGTCGTTTGTCTGATGAAGTCAGGACTTTACACAAAATTGTTATTTTTTATTTTTTTACATCACGGTGAAGCTTACGTAACTAGTGAATTTCACTAAATGTGTGGGCCTTTTAAGAAGGCCTTTAACTATTTGTCCTATTGAGGGTCATGTGAAGGTGAAAGGCAGTCTATCACAGCTACGACACACAGTGACACACTATTCACACCTACAGCCAGTTTAGAATCACTAATTAACACACAATTATGTCACTGGACTGTGGGAGAGTGCTAGACAGGACCCATGCAGGGACAAGGAGAACGTGCAAACTCCACACAAAAAGTCAGCTGGTGGATTCGAACTCAAAAGGTTCTTGATGAGCTGGCACTGCAAAAAAAAATTCTACTAAGCAATCAATGGCATAACTGAAAACTATGTGATTTCTATATAAGCTGAATTGGGAGTTTTATTTTTTAAGCATAATTTTTATGTGAACCACCCATTTTTTAAGCTCTAGTGGTGACTAGAGCATTTTCCACCATTTTTGAGATGTTAAAGATGTTGGTGGTCCTTGTTAACCAAATTATTGACTCTGAAGTGACCATCTGTGCCCCCGCTGGAAAGAAATTGATTGAAATTAAAGCGTGAAATCTGAGGAATTAAGGTTTGCCCTACAGTAAGGTCAAAACCTTTCCTCCTGAGCTCACTCAATACATCCAATCCATTTTTTTCACTTACTCCAATTCAGGGTTGCAGGGGGGCTGGATGACATTGGGCAAAAGGCAAGGTAGACCCTGGACAGGTTGCCAGTGTGTCACAGAGCTTATGAGACAGACAACTGTACCCATCAACAGCAAATTTAGAATCACCAATAAACCTTAACCTACGCATGTCTTTGGACTGTGGTAGGTAGCTAGAGCTCACAGAGAGAAGCTGGGGGACACATTCAAAAAGCACACAGAAATTCCCCATGCTTGCTTTTTTTTTAAAGCCAGGACTGAAATTTGGAAGGATAAAAGGAGAAATCAAGGATTTCTTGCTGCAAATCAATTGTGCTAACCATTGTGGTGCCCACATTGCTGACTATTTATTGTTAAATATTAAGTAAGTATCAAAGATGTATGGTCTTAACTGGTGTAAAGATCTGACAGCTGTACAGCTTGTTAAGAAAGAATTTGTTCTCTTGGTCAAACACCAGTCAGCCTTTATCTCACCTAAGTGTTTCCAATGGTTTGTAAATATAATGCAGTGTGTTCAGGAAATTTAAAAAAGATAGCTGTGGTGTGTTTAGGGTGGGATTATTGGATCGTTTAATAATTATCTGAGATATACTGTATGCATATTAATTGTGTCTCATACTAATCACATTTTACTGTACATTAGGTTTATATATACAAAGTAAGTAATTCAATGGGATACGAGATACACTGAATTCCCTGTGATTGCATAAAAAAATCAAACAGGACACAGTGACCCTGGACCAAAAAAATCGTTTCTTCTTCTCTGACTCCTGGGATTTTCCCAAATGAGCTCCATTTGTGATGACATTACTACAGGATGCTGCCTAATGACCTTGCCTGTAACAAACAAACCTTTTGCTGTCTAAATTTTGCCTTAATTAATCTCATAAGAACCTGTTAGGATTCCCAAACCTGCTCTCTAACAATTAAAACTGGGAGGAAATATTTGGGAAGGCCACTAATGATGTGTCATTAAAAAGTGGTCATTTAAAGTAAACATAGCCATTTTTAAAAGGCTAATTATACATATTAAAAGTGTATGTTACTCTAAAATCTGGAGTCACATTTCATGTGGACCTTGAAAAACTAAAAGAGATGACAGATAGAAGCGCACACTTGCTCTGAGTGAATAATGAAACCTTTTGCTACATCTTTTCTACCGCTGAATCCCAAGTGAAATAAAAGCTTTCCACACTAGGATCAAGAAGATATGGCAGTCTCAGTCCTGTTACAAAGGCATTAAGCAGATGTTTGTCTAAAAGAAAGAAAGAACAAAAAACATCCTAAATTAATGTCCTATGATTTGTATTTATTTAAAAAACAGAATAAAATGTGCAACATTTTAATCTCGTTCTATTTTTTGAGCAAAATTTAATGAATTTTACCTTCTTGCTAAAAAAAGCACATATGGTTCATGTATCTTACAGTGGAATTAACAGCATAAAATTACAGTTCAGGTATCCCAAACTAGGTTGATTAGAGGCTGATGACTAATCTTGAACCAATTCTGCTAACAATGAAATGTAACAGATTCATCAAGCACCAGTATGGCACGAGAATATTGAGTAATCTCCTCATTTGAATTATGCCTGTTGTCACAGCACATCTGTGCTTTGCTGTTGTTCTAATCCTAAACCTTGTGCATGTCATTATCATTAATGCTGAAAAAATGCAGCAGATATTGACCCACAAAGTATACCTGACTGAAGTGACATGCTATCAGTCAGCCAGGTATTTCCATACAACTTAATTGCATCACATGAATTAAGATATACACTTACCAACCACTTCTTTAGATAAAACTATTCACCTGCTTGTTCTTGCAAACTTTTAATGTTATCACCCAATAACATGGCAGTAACCCAGTACATTTAGCCATGTAAACGTGGGCATAAGCATGAAGCTCAAACTGAGCATCAGAATGAGGGAGAAATGTGTAGTGTGGGATGAAAGGTGAAGTGCCTTTGCAGAAACTACTACTACTGGGATTTTTTTCTCACAAGCATCTCTAGAGTTTACAGATAATGGCCTGAAAAAGAGAGACTTGTACAGTTTAATGCATTTTTAGCATATATATTATCAATTAAATAAGTTGAAAGGATAAAAGAAGAAATCAAACTTTTAGCTGCTCAGAGTTTTCACTTTCCTGTTCTGATGTTTGACCTTCCTCCACCTCACCCCCAAACAGCAGTAAAATTCACTCCCCTTCCATAGTTTGGAGGAAAATCCTTTCTGCCTCATCCTGTCCTCTGATTCCTGCAGTATGGACATGGTTGAAAAAGTGAAGCAGTAAGTCCTGCTGTTCAATACAAAACAGAGGGACTAAAATAAAAATTTCTGAAATCCTACTAAATCAAAGTTATGACTCTCAAATTGAAGAAACAATTTGAGGTTAATCACTTGTGGCCATAAAATGTGGAAGCTACAATTCACACGGGGTCACAAAAATTTAACAATAGATTGGAAAAATGTTGTCTTGTCTGAAGAGACTCAATTTCTGTCGCAACGTTTTGATGGCAGGGTCAGATTTGACATGAACAACATTAAAGCATGGCTCCATCCCGCCATGATGCATCTATCAGTGGCTCATGTTGGTGGCAATGGTGTAATAATGGTGTGGGGAAATTTTCTTTGCACACTTTGGGTCCCTTAGTATCAACTGAGCACATTTCAATGCCATGTCACAAAGCTCAAATAAAATGAAGTACTTTCATTATCCTCAAATGTCTTCCACAGTCAACAGATATTGCACCTTTGGGATGTTGTTGAAAAGGAGATTCACATCATGGATACAGGGACTGTGCGAGGCTATCATGTCAATATGGACCAATAATCTCTGAGGAATATTTCAGACATCTTGTTGAATTTCTGCCACCGGGAATTACGGTCATTCTAAAGACAAAGTGAACAAAGCCTGGGTGTACTAAAAAACGCTACCTATGGGTTTGAGTAGATAGCATGTATAAAACTCAGAAACAGGTAACAGCATGTCATTTTTTTCTGTTCGGTCATTATTCCACATGAGGACAACTGCCATTCAGCACTCATTAAACATATTACCACTGAAAACCCCCTTTAGCTGTTGGACATTATAATAAGTTTAACTCACTTGTGTTTACAGTCTACCTCAGTCTGCAGCAACATTGCTCCTTCCCATATCCTACAATCCTACAAAGCCAAACTGTTTCTCTTATATTCAAACAGAAGCAATCAATAACCAGTAATCAACAGAATACAAACTGGCAGACTCATCTCCATACACACTCAGCAGACCAGGAAACCAGTTTTACAGAGACAGGGTGCAAACATCTTATTTGATTGTGACTCATTGCATCTTGATTTTGTCACATCTAGTGATGCATATGCAAAGCGAGACATCCGAATGCTCCTATGAAAGAATGACAGAGGTCATTTAAAAAGGTTTAGGTGCTCATGATTGAGTTAAATAATATTCAAAGATAACATTTTTGCTGTTTGGTCTCTCTTAGACAGCAGTTGTGTTTGGCTTCCCAGACATTCATATATAGAGCAAGGCGATGAGTCATCGTTTTGCATAAGGCAAGGGCATTTGTAGCCTGGACAGTAGAACTCTAATGAATCTTTTCTCTGTTCCCCTTTTCTTTATCTTTCTTCCTCTGTCCCTCCCTTTTGCTGGGCTCAGTTAAACCCTGTCTCTGCATCCTTACAAAGTCACTCAACTGGATAAAGTCATTTACCTGAATGAAGAGGAGCGGAGGGAGCGAATAGGCAGAGCGGGGAAGGGTGGGGGTGCAAGGGTACAGAGGAGGTCTGATATTGTAAGCAGAATGTAGAAAAATGAAGAAACCAAAAAGAGGAGAAATGACAGGTAAAGAAAACTGAGAGCGCTGAGCTGTGAAGCAAGTCTGGATACTTTAATAAGACAAAATAAGATGTTTGTTGTTCCCACCTGTTTATTTATGGCCCAGGACTCCAGAAAATAGAAAAAGGTGATGGTCAAAGAGGCAGAGAACACGCAGAAGAAAGATAAAGGAGACATAGTCAAGGTCGGGATTAAACAGAAATTAGGAAGATCATTGATTTATGTTGATTTCAGTTTGGAATAAAATTAATTGCAAAGGAGATTATATTTTGACTAAATGAAGTAGCAGGACTGATCATGGGGGATATAACTGTGAATATCATAGAAATATATGATCCCAACTGGCTCTAGTCAAGTTTGTGTGGGTTTGTACTTCTGGATTTTTAAAGGCACACAAGCCCAGCATTTAAACTGAAACCAGAAGCACATACTGTACGTTAAGAAACTCAGTTTTGTCTCATTATAACATTATCCCCTATATTCCATCAGTCTTCCTTCATTATTATTATTGTTGTTATCAAATGCTTTGTGTTCTCTAATGTCTAAGAACAGAATTAGTTTGCCCAAAGGCAACCCCCCGAACCATTAGTCTGGGGATGATTTAGCATTTCATTAGCTTTTTCACATTTATTTGCATTTGTAAACAACGGCTTAAAATCCACACATCCATTATTCATATTCTGGACCTCGTAGTAACACCACAAAGGCCTGAAAAATTCAGACAGTGTGCTTTCAGCAATCTTGCATTTCATTATGTAGCACATTGTTATGAGATTAACCCGAATCTCTAAGAACAACTAAAAAAATTGGTTTTGACAGAATAACAACACACATTTCAAATTATGGACTTTTATAGGTTGTTTCTTGTCAACAGTGCTCACTTTGAATTAAGCCTGGATTCTTCATTTTCAGGCACAGTGGTAATGTTACTCCGGGGATGGCCTGCCCCACCACTTTCCCACAGACTGAAATGCTGGAGAGCAATAAAACATTCTTGGTCACCATCCTCCAACTTTTTATCTAATGCCAAAGATCTTAAAATGTTCATAAGTCCAGTTTGTCCTTTCATGACTCGATATACATGTAAGCAATCAAATCTACATGGTTACCATCTTCATTTTCGTGAACTCTGACAAATGCTAATGCACTAAACTAAGGTTTGTAAATATTGTAAATTATACGCGCTTGACATCAGCATCATAACAGTGAACATGTGAACTGCTGGTAGCTTTGAGCTCAAAGCGCCAATGTGTTTCAGTGCAGCCTCGCAGAGCTGCTGGCATGGCTGCAGATGTGGAACATGCATATACAGCACACAAAAGCTTTTATCCTTGAACACTGCTGTCCTGGTGATTAGCTTTATCACCTCAGACTTCATATGCAACATGACAGCGTATGGTACAGTGGCATGTCACGAAGTGGCACGGTGTCACAGTCTTTTGTTACGTAAAGGTGCGTCCTCCTGCTGACATAATAAAATGGCTTTAAAAAAAAATCTGTCCATGTATTCATTATCTAATCCCTTAACTGGAAGTTTACGTTAAACATGCAGATATTGTAATATTTTAATCTGTAGATGAAGACATAAATAACTGTAGCTTGTCTAGAGAGGGGGCCATCTGTATCACAGTGATCTGTCACTGCTTGATCCCTCTCTCCACCGGAAAGTGCTAATCATCACCTCGCTCCTTTTGTTAGAACTGTTCATCCAGTGCGGTGTGGATGATTCTAATTTTCTCGCCTCATTGTCTTTAATCAGGTGTATTAATCACATTTGTTATGATTTATGAGGGAGGAACAGCTGCTACACTGATTCCTTGGTTAGTTGGTATGCCCAGTACGTTGATTTACTCACTCTCTTACCTTCCACTAATGATCTGACAACGGAAAATAACCTACTGCTTGTTTAGAAATCCATAGCTACAGTTTGTTTTCATTTCATATACACACAGTGATCCACCTGGGCCCTCCCTCTACCTTGTTTTTCTTTAGTAATTGACCTTGACTGTAATGGAGACCTTTAGCTAAGAAGGTCGATCAGCCGTGAGCCGTAAAGATACCGACTACCATGATCAGTCTTTACAGGTTATTAGTCACAGTCCTGATGTGATTAACACAAATGCACTTTTATGTCATATCTCTCCAGTCTTTCCCTCTAGTCCTTGAACCCCGATGACAATGTGACACCTCACTTTAGTTTGTGAAGTCACACGTTCTGCAAATTTCACCGGGAGCTTGCACACTCATTCAGAAACACAGCAGGGAAAAAAATACATTTAATGTCTGACATAGTGCTGCATGAAGTCTACATTCCCTGACAGTGATGATAAAATGTACAGACACACTGCAAACTCATGATTTTTCTTTTTTTTTGTTTGGCTTTTTATTAATGTTTTGGTTGGTTTTCTATGCCTACAGGAATCACATGCACGGTTAAAATTGGTCTCTCTTTCACTTTTTCCACAGTTTTACTGATAAGCTGATCTGGTGTCAAATGACACACGTTCTTCTCTGAGATAAAAGGGTCTTCGTGAAAACATGGTGTGTAACATATTCCACAAACATGGCACTCCATAAAAAAAAATGCCAAATGAGTTTCCTTCTCTGACAGTTTTCTGACAATATGCACTCCCTGGTAGATTAAAAGCAGTCTTGCTCTCTGTGCAGGTTCTGCTGAATGTAAAATATTAAGCAGGGGCCGCAGCTTTGGGTAATAACGCTGACTCAGCTTTTCAAATTGGAAATTTGATGGACCTTTACTGTGCGCTTTGGACGGTTACTGAGGGTAAATACTAAACAAGTGGGGCTGTGTAAGATAACACAACGGATGGAAAGCATTTCTGCTATGAGGAGATACTTATATACAATATGTACAACACTGCTGAGAAGATTGAAGTATTTAGTTGTGCTGGATGAACAGTTACTTATATTTAACTGCCTTTGGCTCTGTGCATCTCCCAGAGTGAATTCATGGGCTGAACGTGATGAAACTAGTTTTAAAAAACCATCAGTTGTAGTTGTGACAGGTCAAGGCCACAGTCTTTGATAAATAAGTTATCCTGGTAATATCGTCTGTCCTCACACTATGTAGCACTGGATTGATGTTTCGACTGGTTAAACAGCCACGTTGGCCAGTCTGGGGTCAGAGTCCTGCTCATAGCGGTAATGATATACCTCCATCTGGTCACGGCAGGCCTCTCTGATGTTGTTGAGCCACCGTTTGATGCCTCCCCGGTTGAGATAAAGTACCATCAGGAACACCACCCCGATGAGAGCCAACACTATACCTAGGAAAACATATGACACCGCCTCCAGGTTCTCGTTCATACAATCAACCTCCTCTCCCCGGAGCTTTTCCACGGGAATCCCCCTCTTAGCCTCTGGCTCGCTGCACAGGAGACGCCCTGCATCCAGGCACTGGGACGAGTTCTTCAGCCAGTAGTAAAACGCCTCCAGTTCACAGCTGCACCGAAACGGATTTAAAGACAAGTAGACGCGTATGCGCCTTTGTTGGTACAAACTGGTTACATTTTCCTCCCCGATTATCTCTATTGAGTTATTAATCAGCACCAACTCGTGGAGGTTAAAGACATCTAATCTCTCGAGGGGGATAGACGTCAGCTTGTTTCCCGCCAACTCCAGTCTGTGCAGGTTGCGCAAACTTTGTGTGTTGAGCGCATCTGAGAGCTGCGCGGTGGCCGCAGGAGAAACGGAGTAATTCAGGTTAAGAGAGCGCAGATCGGGTAATCCATGGAAAGCCCTGGATGAGATAAACTCCAACTGATTGTGGCTAAGATCCAACGAATGTAACCGGGAAAGCCCCAGGAAGGCGTAAGGTTCAATAGCCTGTATCCCGTTATAGGACAGAGAGAGTGTTGTCATTTCCAACTCCGTGCCGTTGGTCATGAACGCATCACGCTGTAAAGTTGAGATGTTACTCCCCGTAAGTGTCAAGGTGGACGTCCACTTTGGCATGTCTCTGGGTACCTCGGTGTAGTCCCCGTCACGGCAGGTCACCGTCCTCAAGCCCCTGGTACAGATGCAGGACGACGGGCACGCGTCGTCCATCCTTACGGGCGAAAACAACAAACACATCACTGCTGCGTAATACAAACACCACTGGTTCCAAATAGAAAAGATACACTTTGAATCGTCCGAACTGTAAAAGATCCACATCTTCTCCCTCTTTCCCCCCCTTCTCCCAAAACAGGAATATGCCGATGGGTGTTGCAAAGAAGGTGACCGATCCTCTCACAGGCGTGTAAAGTCGTGTCAGTCGGACGTATTGCCTTTACTTGGAGCAGACGGGATAGAAATAAACGGCTTTCTTCATTGTCACCTTGGAGTCGTGTTTTTCTGCAGTAAAGATGAGTTTTGTTTGAGATTTGCACGCATGAGAACGGCTGAAGACGGCCAAGTGTGAAGTGTGGCTGCGTGGAAAGCTTCTGATCCGCGCTCCCTTGGTGGTATTTTTGACGTCTGTCACAGAGAGGAGGGGCGGGGGGGG